ATAGTACTGATGTTGCTCATTCCAAATTTGTCCAATTTTACTCATCACGCATTCCCTTCGCAGGCCCAAGGAAGCTTAAGCTCCTGTTTTTTGTTTGCAGTTTGACCCGCCGAATCCTTGTCAAGCCAACGAGGACTCCTCAAAGCCGTGCCACATGACGAGGATTCGTCGAATCCGTGTCAACCTGGATCCTTGCCATCTTGGCGTGGATTCGACGAATCCGTGCTGAAACCGGCGCTTATTCGAAGGTTTCAGCGCTTGCTCGAGTGAATCAGCGCTGACTCGACACAAAAACCATGCTTTTCCTTGTCAAACCAGCGCTGATTCGCGAATCAGTGCTGAAACCAGCGCTGAAAGAAGGACTGGGCAGTTGAGGGCGGTGGTGAGCCGGCAGGGACGAAGAGCGCCATGCGAGGAGCTGGAAGCCGGGGGCGGCCAGCAGCAGTGGTGCGAAAGCGGTCTTTGGCGACCGTCCAGGCGGATGATGTTGCCGAGACTGAGCGGAAGCGCTTGCGAGTAGGTCTTTCTAGTTTCCAGTGACACACGCCAGAAAGGGTGTGGGCAGACTTTGACGTGTTCTCACGGGGTGATGGCTGTGCAACACCTTCCAGTCACATATAGAGATGCCAGCCATGCTGCTTCATTGATATATTTCAGGACGACGAGAAAAGGCGCCGTGCCTAGATAGTATCATGTGACCAAGTGCCCTGAATTCTCACGTGTAGCACAAGAGGAGTTTGACAACTGAAGCCTGCTTGCAGGCTCCACTTCATGCTTCAATGGCATGAAGAGACTTGGCTTGGCAAGTTTTGGCCCTGACGTGCTCTTTACACTTCGCTGAGACGATAAAAGGGTACTCTTATGCTCGCCCCATTAAGAAAGCAGGCGCGAGCGTTTGCGGTGGCCAAGTTTCAGCTTGGAGCTGGGATGTCGCCACGCGGGTTGGGGGTACTTTGGTCTCCCTGCTTGCTGCGATCCTGAGCCAGGAGGCGTGCGAAAGAGGTGGAGGGCTCTAGGTCCATAAGCTTTGGCTCAGACAGTTTCTAGTGAGGACGCGAGACTGCGTGATAGATACTGCATGGCTGAGCCACGTGGACTCAATGCTCGTTGGCGCAGATGGGTATGTCTTTTTCGACGGTGCTTATTCGGGGTTGGTTTATACAAAAAATTGCAGATTCCATGCACCTGTCGCATTCTATTGCGGCAGTCGCATAATATCAGTATTCCGCACACACGGGCAAAGTCTGCTAAGTGGATGCTCAGTTTCAATCATCAATGACAAAAAGAGGCGCCGAGCCGCATCGCCCAGGTGACTGCCGCCCAAAACACCCAGCTAAAGGTTCAATTTTTGTACGTCCTAAACCTAGTTTCATGCTGGCTATATAGAATAAGGACGACACGGGTGTGTCTCCTTCTACGGAAGCCCCCCCGAACAAAAGATCTGAAAAACATGTTTTTCCTTTTTGTTTTCCGGTCGAGCAACCCCAAAAGGGTACCCGCAAAAAAGAAACCCATATGAACCTTAGCCCTTTTGCTCAAACCAAACCTCAGCTCCGCTTTTGGTTGCTCAGGTTCTTTGGACCCGGGTGGGGTAGCTTCGCAAGCAACATGCGCTCACGGCCACTTGGTGGCCAATGCCAGGCTTCGGTTGCATTTGACATGGCATCCCCTAAAAGGAGGGGGGGAAGTAAGGGTACCTCTGCTGGGGCTGGTCTGAAGAGAAACCGAAGGTCAGGTAACCCTCAATTGGTGGGTTTAGAATGTTGGCTTGGATTTGATTCTTGTACAGGGTAAACGGAGAGCTGCCCCTTAACCTCCAAACCGCCAAATAGGGGGAATCTGATCTATCCTTTTCGACACATACCCCTTGCGCGCAAGAACCTAAACCTAAACGCAAGCTTTGTCTGGAAATCAGAAGGGTTTCACACACCCCAACAAGAAGAGATGCAAGAGGCTTGGCTGGCGACTCCCGAGGTGGAATCTCTGAAGAGGTTGTTCACCCTGACGGCAACTTGGACCTCTGTCTCAGGTGAGATTCAGCGAGCCTGGAAACAGAGCCACTTCTACAACCCAAAACGGGCATGTAGAAATGGTCTCAGGCTTTTGGCCCGGCCAGGCGCTTGATGGTGCTAGGGCCGGCAAAGTTCGGCTCCTTCTCGCGTCGCTACAGAACAACAAAATCGCTGCCTCGAGAAACGAGGGAAAATGTATCGTGGTGTTAAGCTTCAGCCCGAATATGATCATCCGCTGATCATCGCTTAAATGCACCTCTTTCCCCTGACGGTGGCACCAACGGATGCTAGTTGACGCTGGCAGTGAGATAAAATATTCTATCACTCGGTCCAGCAGAAGCTAAGAATGACCACCAGTAGGCGGACCTTAGCCCCCGCCTTTTTAAGGATCTACATTTTGTGGAGAGCGCCCCCCCCCCCTAGTCTTGGTCCAGAAAGGTAAAAGTCCGGATCCCCCGGACCCAAAACCACCCCCCCTTTCCGCGATTTCCGCTTTCGGCCGCTCCATGGATAGCTGCCAACCCCCCCCCCCCTTCTTGGTCCAGACAGCCGTTTCCCGGCTGCCGGGGATGACGATATGTCCCGAAGCTTTAGAATTCGAGCGCCATTTAAAACGTCACTAGCATTTTAGGTGGCAGCGCAGACCTGCCTGTGTGTGATTTTGAGCGCCATTTGAAATGTCAGAGGCATTTTAGGCGTCATCCAGGACATGCCTGGGTCGGAATTGAAGCGCCATTTAAACTGTCAGAGGCATTTTAGACGTCGTCCGGGACATGTCTGGGTCGCAATTAAAGCGCCATTTTAGATGTCAGCTGCATTTTAGACGTCATCCAGGACGTGCCTGGGTCAGAATTGCAGCGCCGTTTTAAACGTCAGTCGCATTTTAGACGTCATCCAGGACGTGGCTGGGTCGGAATTAGAGCGCCACTTTAAATGTCAGCGGCTTTTTAGGAGTCAGCCCGAACATGCCGTCATCAGAGTTTGAATAACGCTTTTATTACTAGTGCAATTCGCACATTTGCACATTGCCCGGTATATTGCCCTGCAGTCGGATTTTGAGCGCCATTTTAAAAGTCAGTCGGATTTTAGTCGTCACTTGCTGGTTGCTGCCAGTCGGATTTTGAGCGCCATTTTAGATTTCAGGCGTCACGACCAGTTTGCAGTATATATGGCTGTGGGACAAGGTGACCTGGAATTTAAGCGTCATTTTAGTCGTCACCGGACACTCCAATTTTGGACCCCTGATTGCCGCAACTCTGTGTTATTATTATTATGATTATTATTATTGTTATTATTATTGTCATCAAAATAATTAAGAATAGTATTTTTATTAAAAATAATATTACTATTATTATTATTATTATTGTTATATTTATTATGAGTATGATTACTATTAATATTATTATTTGTATTATTATTAATAGTATTATTATTATTATTATTTATTATTATTATTATTAGTGTTATTATTATTAGTGTTATCATCATTATTATTATTATTATTTTTAGTATTATTAATTCTTATTATTAACATTATTATTATGTTGTCTTTTTAAAGTTTGGATGTTTCAGCCATCAGGAAAGTAGGGTATAGCCATTCATGGACCCCTAGTGGGGGCTATGGGGGGGGGGAGGGTATCCCAGGAGAAGCCCAGGAGACAAGCCCTTAACAAGGCCTTATTAAGGGGTTAAGGGATAGGCCCCCTCCCCATAGCCTCAGGGGTCCATGAGCTAAGGAGACAATCAACCCAGTGGGTCCCAGTTGCAACCGTGGTTCCAACTTTCCTTTGGGTAGTTTGAGGGGCCAGGTATTTAGGAGCGGAATTGTCCATCACAGAAAGTGATGTTTTGCAGAGGGGTCAGCAGCCACCAGCATCTCGCGAGGTAGAACCCGACGGCAAAACGAGCTGGCTAGGAGCAAAACGACAACTTGAGGTGTCTAGGGCTTTGGAACAGATGTTCCTTTCAGTGCCGTGGACTCACGAAATCCATTCTGAGAACCAGTGTTCAGAAACGGACAGATGCGATTCCCAAAGCGTCAAATGAACAGATGCTATGGTTTCAACCATGCTCAAAGTGGTGCTGGATGTCCTCCATCCGCAGTATCACCAACAGGAGTGTTTTCAGGTTGATACAAGAGGTTCTTTGAGGTTTTGGAGGGTTTGTTTCTTTCCAGGAAACACGGGCCTGATTCGTGGCAGCCGAATCTATAAACCAGGCCGCCCTCCGCCCCCCGCCCCCAACCCCTGTGTTGCCCTTGCAAGGTGACTCTAAAGCAGCGCCGTTCTCGGCCCTGAAGTGAGTTTTCCGCTTTAGGGTAGAAAAGAGGCTGAACCATGTTTGGGGTTGACCGTTAGGAACCCGCTAAACAACAAGCGTCTGTCTCTTTTGGGGACCCCCCCAAAGGTGGTTGTCCTTTTTGGTGTCCGTTTAAAGCACATCCCGAAAGGGCTACCGCAAAAAATTGGACCAGGGGTCTTTGAGGGTGGCTGGGAATCCCAGGAATCAATCGAACAGGGGAGGTCAGAAGTGGACGGTTCCGAGCCATCCGGTTCCTGGGGTTTGAGTTGCTTTCAGCTGGTTTAGTGGTGGTTTCCGTAGTTGACCCCACTTAATGTTAAGCTTTTAGCAGGGCATCTGAGGATACGGGCGCCGCTTGTGTTTTTTGAGGGTGCCAGCTTTTGCAGTGTCCTTAAACCAAGAGCAACCCCCCACATATTGCGAGCTCACCTATTTTTTTCCAAGACACACAGGAATACATTGACAATGAATGAATGAATGAATGAATGAATGAATGAATGAATGAATGAATGAATGAATGAATGAATGAATGAATGAATGAATGAATGAATGAATGAATGAATGAATGAATGAATCAAAATAATAGAGCAAACATGAATCCATGAACAAAGCACGTATCAATGTTGATGAACCAGATCATGCTTTCCTTCGGGCACTGATTTGACCGCGCATGGACGAATTCGTCAGGTGACTTCAGACACATCTGGGCTGCTGGTCACCGGCCATGGAGTAGCGCTCGGGTCCCGCTAGCTTGGGGCTTCGGCATGTGGCGGTTCCTTTGTGTAACGGGACCCTCAAACTACCCATTAAAACAAAGAGACAAAAAAACACACACACACAAAAAACAAAAACAAAACGAGAATGCACCAACCACTAGTTTGGGTGGCAAACACTTTTGTTTGTTGGAATTCTGAGGCTTCAGGTATATGTTGGTGCGGTTACTCCCCTGCAAAGTTAACATGTAGCCCTTTACAAAGAGGGGGGTCTTTCCGAGAGCAGTCTCCTCTAAATGCTTTTGTGGGTTGCACGTCAATAGCATCCCAAGACTTTATAGGTGTGAGCTTTACATAGACTCACTTCTTGAGTTCATGGACTGTAGTCACTGTTTGGAATTGGACCTTGTGGTAAACATAAAGTTCCTGGACTTTTGTTGGGCAATCCACTGAGTGGACATCTGGGTTCAGATTCAACTCCTTTGGCCAACCCACCAGGCCTCCTTTGGTTTGGATAATGGAAAGGCACATTTTGACCCAAAACCAAATTGGAACATGTCTCACCATGTTCTTGGGGTCCAATTCCCCCTTGTGGATGGTTCCGAAATCCCGAAAACTTCACACCATAGCTTACCATAACGTTTGTTGGTACTTACAGGGCAGTCGAATCATTCCGTTGAGTTTCTGAACGGTGATGCGCAACGTCGATCAGTATGAGACGACCTCCGGTTTTGAAGCCACTAGATGGCTTTTTGCTGGCTTGATGGCTCGGAACCGAGCCGCGGCGTTTTTCATTCGAGTCGAACCACTGAGGTTGTGGCAAAAGGGACATATTCTTTGACCAATTGGGCTACCTCTTGAGAGAGCCTGAAAAGGGATTTGGTGTGCTTTGGCGAGTTGGGTGACCCCCCCTTTTTATGAATCCTATTTCATGCAGGGTAGACTCCAAGTCCCATCAAGGTGGGCGTGTCTTTTGCCGGGGGCTCCACATGGTTGTTGTTGGGAACATTTTACATGTTTGCTTATTGTGGTTTAGTGGTTGAAATCCAACTCCACTTAGCTGGCTAAAATTTGAGAGTTTTTGCTCCCCTTCCAACGTCAACCAAGTTCAGGTTTCCCACGGGTTTTCCCGTCGGCGCCGGAGGTTGGCCAACACCGTCATCGAACAGGATGCCGCCTACTGGGAAGTCCGCGTGCCGCGCCCTCAGCTAGTGGCGAAGGGATAAGTCCGGTGTGTGTTTTATTGGGGGGATGTGTTTTTTGTTTTTTTTTGCCCTCCCATCAATTATCGTGGAATCTTGAAAGACCTTTTGCCTTTAAGGACTGGCGAACGTCAGGTTCCGTGTCAATTGGTGGAAGGGTAAACGAAAACCAAAAGGAAGGCCGAAGCCATGGACATTTTGGTGGGTCCTCGAAAAGAGACACCGACCCGACCCACCCATTGTGCGAATCCTGGGAGACCCTTTGCATCATTTATGTTGGAGGTGGTTCTGGGTTGAAATTGTAGCATGGCAGTGTGGGCCTCGCTTTTACTTGTGATTGCTGATTTCCTTTTACCACAAAAAAGTGGGGTACCCTCAAAAATGACCCCCATGAAAGCTTGACACTTTCACAGTTTGGAGCCCTACTTTCGACTAGATTAGGAAGCCCAGAGCGAACCTCACTTCCATGGCCTGGAGAAGAGGCCCGCCTAAATAGCCTAAGGCCAAATGGATTTCTTTCTACTGTGGATGGGCCAAATCCTGCACCACCTGAGAAACCTTGGGGAAACAGTTGTTTCTTGGCATTTGGAGGGAACTTTGGGCCGACCCTTTCTTTCCAAGCGTTGCCGTGTAGACACCCTCTCTTGGGAAGCTGATTCGGTGATGTGTTTTCTCTTGAAAACACAGTGGATGGACGGAATCCTGCACCACTTTGAAACCATCGGGAAACGAGAACGGTTGTTGGTATTTACAGGTGAATCATCATTCCAGGGTTTCTTAGGCGGTGCGCAGAAATTTGTCCATCCACAGTATTTCAAGCACACCGCCACCTTCAAGGTCCTGAAAAGAAGAAATGGCAAGGTTGGGCCGTTGCGGATGTGGATGACTTGCCAGGTGGATTCCGATGGCTCTTCCCCAGCAACTAGCTCCAGCCCTTTTGCCGGGGTTGCTCTATATGTATAATACAGGTCTTTGCAACCCTCCCTGCCCCCAAGGTACCTCCTGAGCCCTTGGTCATGTATATATATATATATACACATAGGAACCGTTTCCTTTGCACTTGGCCAAAGGGCAATCTGGGTTCAGAAGATTTTACCAAGGGTCAGGTGGGCCGTGTTCAGGTGTTGAGGTGACAAACCCCCGCTTAAGAATGGTGCTTGGGGCACTATGTTGTGTGAGCCTCATATGCGTGGCTCGTCGGGACCTTTTGAGCCTACCATTTTTTGGAATGCTTATCATTTCCAAAACCCAACTGTTCCCAGCTTATAGTAGGCAACCAGCCATGTTGTTTTTGGCTTTGAAAGGGTGGTTTTCTGGGTAACCTACTATGCGGTAAATGGATCCACTGGGATTTCTGAAAAGAATGGGGAAACCACCCCTCACCACCAATCCAGTCTGTCTCAAAGTAAGGCCTTGGTTTCCGTCTGTTTTCCCTGTAAACCAACAAAACATGGCCTTGCCTGGAGATTCATTCTCCGGGCTTTTATTTAGGCGTTTTGGTTTTATGGTCTAGGAAAGCAAGTGAAAAAGACGAACTACCAGGAAGTTCACGGAACATGAAGCGGTTTCCGTTTTGTCTCCTCAAACCAACAGATGGCAACTTGAGGTTTTCAGCGGGTTGGGTTTTGGGGAAATTCTACCGGAGAACTACTTGTTTAATTACGGGGTGTTTTGGTGCCATGTCCCGTAGATGTTCCCGTGTTTTGGGGACAAACCCTGCGTTTCGGGGCCATTTGTTTTGGGGCCAAACCCTTACAGCAAGTGAAAAAGCGAGAACTACCAGGAAATGCATGGAAAACTGCAGGGGTTTCCGCTGGTCTCCTCAAGCCAAAAGAGGTTTCGACCGGAAAACACCTTGTTTAATTTACGGGGGTGTTTTGGGGCCATGTCCTAGATGTTCCCATGATTTGGGGCCAAAGCCTTGGAGGTTTCCGATTGCGAGCCACGCGGACCCCCTCGTCTTTTTGGGCGCTCCCAAGGCTTCCTCAGAATTAGTTCTTTTTTTTTGCTTTTTTGTGGGTCCCATTTGTTTTCCACTGACCAGGCAATTGTTTATTATTATTTTTTGCTGGGGTCCTAGTTCCAGCCAAGAAGGTTGGAGCCGGGCAGCTCCTCCCGGACCTTCGTGGGGGTGGCGCTGGAGCTCAACGGCCAGCGCAGCGCCTGCCGCGCTTTTGGAGCAGTGGAGGGTGGCTACTGGAGCTGGCTGTGGGTCAAAAATCCTTTTGGTTTCCTTTCAAACCTATCAAAAAAGAATTGGGCACCCAAAGAGACTTGCATATATGGCAATTGAAGACGTTCTAAGGTTTGGTTCTCTTTAGAAACCGCCTGTCGTCAGGAAAAAGAGGTTAGAAAGTAGGTGGTTTCTAAAGAGAACGATGAGTGATGGAGCATTCTCTTCCTCTTTAGAAACCGCCGATTTTCCAGGGATTTGGCTCATTGTTTGAAGAGAAGGATCCCTGCAGAGAATGGGGAGGGTACCAGGGTACCACTAGATGCTTGGTGGCTCCCAGCCATCAGGCTTTTTAGTGTTTAGTGGCAATGTCCATTTAACCCGCTAAAAGTGAAGCTCAAATGAGTCCCATGTCTCCGATTCCAACTGTGGATGGTTGCGAAATCCGGAAATCGCGCCACCTGAAATGATATAAATGAATGCCCAACATAAATACCAGCAAAGGTTATGGTTTCGACCATGGTTTCAAAGTGGCACAAAATGTCCATCCACAGAATGTCCATCCACAGAATGTCATGTTGTTTTCGGGCAGCATCCAAGCATGCAACCAATCTGAAGCTATTTGTGGTCTGTGTACTCCTTTTTTGAGGGCAACGATCTGACGGGTTCTTTCACTGTTTGGCTGGCCATAGCTGGCAGCAAAAGTCAAGCTTTTTGAACATGGAATTGGGGGAGGGCGCGTTCGACCCTTGGAGATCTCCAATAGTCCGATTTATTTGCTTGGCAAGACAAGAACCATGGAAGGGTGGGGGGGATGTTCCAAACTGCATCTTCGGTGGGCCTCTGTCAGAAATGCCCGGCGACTATGTGCTACAACACCAGTCCATCATTGTTGTGGGGAACTTTCTTGGCTGTGCCAATGGCTTTTGGGATAGCTCCATGAAGCTATACTCATGTCAAGACCGGTATGGTAGTCAAGAAATAACGACCCCTTAGCCCCCAAAGGCATGGTAACTTGCCTAGTTGTGTGGTCACTGATGTGAGGTTTGCTTGAGGCCACTTTGGTTTAGGTTGAGGGTTGCATGTCATGACAGACTTGTCGAACGGCAAACGCCGTTTGGCTCAAGCGCACATCAAGAAAACAGCGCTGAGTGCGGAACGAGAGTTTAGGAACCACCCCCTGAACCGCTGAGGGATTAACCACGGTCAATCCACCTCTTTTTGTTCAGGGCGCAGCCTTCGGCGCGCGTTTGGGGTTTCTTGCTCTTTTGATTGGTTATCAGCCGTATAGCCTTTCTTTCGGGATTGACTAGGCCCTCCCTCAGCGGTTCCCCCATAAGGGGGCGCGCATGGCCGTTGAGGAAGAGTACCACAAGCGTGGAACTCGCGGAGGAGCCGCAAACAAGAAGCGTGTGTGGCGGGAGCTCCAGGAGGACGTGATCGACGAGGTCGAGCAGCGTTTTGGGTTTACACCACCCAAGCTGCAGTGGGAACCGGGGTCAGAGGTGCAGCTTGCTGCCCTTCGGGCCTGGAACCGGGACGTCACCGAGCAGCGCTGGGAGGAGCTTCACAGGTGGCATCAGCCTACGGCCCTTCGCATCCGGGCAATCCGCGAAGAAGAACGAAGGGCCGCAGCCACTGGCGCGGCAGGTGCAGATACAGTGCCTGCCACTCCCTCGTCTCCGACCCCATCCACACCGCCTCAGCAGCAGCAGGCGGCGCATCCTTCCGTGGCCCAGCAGGCTTCACCTGCTGAGGCTTGGTTGTCGGCTTTGCCTACAGCGAGGACCGCAGCCCACGGCGCGGTGGCTGGTACAGCTCCGAGGAGAAGGACATCTACGACCTCCACACGGTCAGTGTCAAGGCAAGTTCTGCGAGCAGTTTACTCCCAAGTACCTATTGTGCTTAGGTCTCGCTCTCGGTCAAGAACTCCGACACCGATCCAGGAGGCCGCAGCCCTCGGCGCGGCAGGCGAGTCGAGCAGTCGGGAGCCTTCGGGAACCCGCAGAACTCCTCGCCCGACGACCAGTCGATCCTCGCGTGGCAGATCAAGGAGTGTGCCATCAAGGACCTCGCCAACCGACAGGCCGATCGTGCTGGCGCCAAGGAGCTCGGCCTATCCGACGGTTCGCATCGATCGGACCGGCACGTGGACACTGCAGAGGGAGCAGCCCTCCGGCGCTCCACGGGCATTTTCAGGCCGAGCCCGATCACGCTTGCCGCAGTTCAGTGATCCTGACGAGCTGCCAACGGACGTGTGGCTCCGCCCCGAGGCCTACGGGGAAAGGTCCAGTTCCTCGACCCCAAACTACGGGAACGCGGAGGTTTACCATCTGGCAGACTACTCCGACGGGGATACAGTGCACAACACCGAGGATTTGCTTTCAGGCAGAGCAGCATTCCGGGCGGGTGGGGTATACGAAGCACCGTTTCATCGACCTACATCGCCGGCCCCACCTCCGGCCCCTGCTACGAAAGCCACAGCAAAGTTTGGGACGCGGCCAGCGGCGCGGGGAACAGTTGCAGCATTTTTGGCAAGCAGTCGCGGACGTGTTTTGAGCAAAGCAAGATCTTCTTCGCCTCCACGCTCAGCAGCACCGCCAGCCAGAAAGGCTTCTGTCCCTGCAAGCAGCCGGCCTGGCCCACACATCAGGTACAAGCAGCCGCCGGCATCGTTGAGGTTGCCACCAAAAGGGCAGGGAGCAGCCTTTGGCGCTCCAGACCCACCTTGGCGACAACCGCCGAAGCGAGAGCCACCTCAGCCTCCTCCACCAAGGCGAGAAAGCCACGGGATCCCAGATCCCCCACCTCGGACACCCCTCGCGGACCGGAAGACGCTCAACATCGTTCTGGACTGGCACGGGGTGCTCGACGTGAACATCCGCTCTGGGGGAAGGCTTCACCCACAGATCGTGGACGGATTGATTCGTCTACAGACAGCTCACGGTCCATTCAATTGGATTATTTGCAGCTATTGTGGGGTCGAGCGCGAGCGAACTACGGCACCGGAGATCGCCACAGCAAGGGTACACTTGGCTTGCAAGGGCATCTACGTTGGTACAACGCAGTTCACGCGCTCCAGGGTTGGCGTTGCTGGCAAAGCAAACCTTTTGCACGGTTGGGCAGCACATATCCTTGTGGACGACAACGCCACAATCTGTCGTGAGGCGCGACTCACAGGCGCGCACGCTTTCAGGGCGTACCCCAGCCAGGGGGTGCAGGGGACTTTGGACGCATTGATTGCCATTGAGCAGTGGTTGGATCAAACCGACCGAGCGGCCATTCAGCCTGCCCGTGCACTCACTACCGCAGAGCTCCTTGAGGAGGTTCGCAGGTAGTAGATCACCTGGTTCTCACGACAGGGGTGCAGCCGTTGGCGCACCGAGGATATTTTCTCATCCTGTGCAGGGAGCAGCCGTTGGCGCTCCGAAGAGCTGTGGCGCAAAGACGCACGAAGTCACACACATTTCCAATCGCACACAACTGCATTGGTGAGCCTTCACATTTGCATCCAAATTGCAAACAAAAGGTTTAGGTTCAAAGGAGATTCCCCATTATCAATTAGTGAGGTATATCAATCCTTGTGTGACTGAGTGCGTTGCTGCATCATTCAATAATCTACGTTGAGTGTAGCCGTAAGTGCACATCTCATAATCCCACCAGGCACAAATCACCGGCCTTGGAGAGTGCTGCCTTTGGCGCACTGACTTGGTTCGCGTGTGCAGGAAAAGCTATCGCATCCGTGCGGCTCAGGCATGAATTCCTCTGGTATTACGCCCCCATCCGAAGATAGGTCTAGATCCTCACATGGCGCAGACTATGATGACCCAGACCTTGCGGGTGCAATGGTGCCAGCCATGTCTGTTGTTAGGCATAACCCTAATAGCCCTGCACCAGGTTCCGATGCAACCCCTGTTAGGCGTATGTTCGTTTCAGAACCATCCTCATCAGAGCCGGCTGGAACGCCCGATCCAACCCAGAACCTCCCAGCTGCTGCATTTGTTGCGGGTGCCGCCGTTCAACGTGCTCACCATGCTTCCGATGTCGCGCTTCAGGCCGCTGAACATGCACAGCAACAGCAACTGCTGGCTGAGCAGGCCCGAAGGGAGGCGGGGGAACTCCGGGAAGCCGCCCAACAAAGGGAAGGGTTGTGTAGGCATCAGGCAATGAACCTTGTAACCCAGGCTCAACAGGCCGTGAGCTACGCACGCGAGCATGAGTTCAATGCGAGGCAGCAAGCCATTGGCGCTGCGGAACAGGAGGAGGCAACCAGGCCGAGGTGCTTAGGCTTCAGGCGCAAACTGTCGTTTCTGAGGCCCATCAAGAGGTAGGTCAGACTAGAGCTTTAGCTGAAAGGTACGCAGCAGAGGTTCGCAACAGAGCTAATGCTGAACAGGCCCAGGCCCAAGCTCAGACCCAATACCTTTATCAAGAAGCACAACGTGCCGTAGCCGAACGTGATGCCACCATTCTAGCTCTGCAAGAGAAGGATTTGCAACAAGCGTCTAGGTTAGCCGAACTTGAAAGGACGGTTTCCCTTTTGCTTGAAGTCCGTCAGCCTCCGACTCGCTCGACGCAAAGTGCCCCGCAAGCACAAACCGATAATGGTACGGATTCTAATACCCCTCAACCCAAACGGTCGCATAACCGGAGCTCCCCCATTTTGGGCGGACAGGATGTGTCAATGGGTAACCAAGCAGGGGCTTCATCCAGTGGATTGCAAGACCAAGCAAACCAGCAGAGTGGACTTGATAGATCCTCACAACAGGGTTTAGATAGTGCCGCACCTCAAGTGGGTCCTCATCATACAACTGGTGTTGACTCGGGCGCCCAGCCCGGTGCTTCCTCTGCCAACCTGCATGTCACATTCCAGGATGTTGCAACCCCACGTGATGTTGCCGCAGGAAGTGTGGGACTCGCCAAGAGCCTTGCCCCTACCGGCCCACCACAGGACATCGCAGGAAGTGCGGGACTCGCAAAGGG